TTTCCCTTCCCTGCAAGCGTGCCGCGAGCGCGCAAGTGGCCCAGGCCCTTCGGAAGCTCGCAGCCAGCCAATTAGGAAGGAGCGCGAACGGAAGGAGGCTCAGCCAAAGGAAGTGGCGAGTGTAGGGCTGTTTGGAGGGGGCGGGCGGGGAGGAGGGTGAACTGCGGCCAGGGCGTGGGCGCAGGCCCCGTTTTTCACTTTCCCTTCCCTGCAAGCGTGCCGCGAGCGCGCAGGTGGCTCAGTTGAGCCGCCTCGGCAGCTGGGCCATTGCGGAGCAGGGTGGAGCGGCCTCGGGGGAGCAAGAGGACCGTGCTGTCACCGTGGGGCCGGGGGGAGCAGCAGCCTTCGTCAGGCCCGGGGCTGGAGGAGGTGGAGTGAACGCCTGCTGCGGAGGAGCTGAGCCTCGGGGACCGAGGCCAGGCCGACAGTCAGGGCCTCGGGACCCCAGGTCCCGGCTGGGATGCGGGCAGGCGCCCGCGGGGCCAGACCGATGGTCTCCAACGGTCCTTGCAGCGCTGGCAGGCTGTGACGCTTGAGAATACACACAGGGAGGGTCACCCCACCACCACGTTTATTCCAGCCCACCTCTTCAGACCCAGCTAGCCGTGGATACTCGCTTGAGAATGATGTTTCCTCTTTCACCACCCTTGAGTCTGACCTGAGGGCGCTCCCATTCAAATTCAAATGTAGGTTTGCGACGACAGGTGGCGCTTACACTTGCCTGTCGCTCCTGACGATCGGCTTTCCTAAAGATGTCAGCCCAGGATGAAATCTTCTGGGGCTGTTCGGCTCAGCTCCGCTCAAAGGGTCTGAACTGATTCCATCTCCCACAACAACGGCATACGATGTGAAAGTTGCATTGATTTCTTCCACGTGAATCTTTGAGCCAGATAGAGGACAGACGAATGGGGAGCATTTGTGGCCTCTGAACAATTGGTGCAGGGTTTCAGAGGGCGCTCTGGAGTCCAACAATTTGGGGGTTGAATTCCAGCTGTATTACTTCTTAGCCCTGTGCTCTCAATCAGGTTACTTAACCTCGCCAAACCTGGGTGGGGGGAAGGGCGGGGAGCTAACTCATGGGATTGTTGTGAGGCTTAAATAAGATAACAGATTGAAAACGTTTGACATAGTTCATGGCACAGAGGAAGAGCCACTTAATAAATGTAAGTTGTGATTAATTGCCATGATGGAGGAGGTGAGTAGGCAAATAGAGTAGTCCAATCGAAGCATGACTGATGGGCTACGTAGGTGCCAGAGAAGAATTCAGAGAAGTGGCTGCATTTAAGCTGGACCTTTACACGGGGGAGAGTTTGCTAGATGAAGGGAGAAAGGTGCACTGAACAGAGGAAACAGGGGCAAAGGCTCCGGGGTTTGAATATTGAGAACCTACACAGAAATATCCTTGCTTTAATATTGGAGGCAGATAAACAGTGTGGGTTAAGCTCTGTCCTTGATATTTCTGTACCAAGTGCCTTCAAAAAAATTCATGGAAAAATTCCATTTTTCCCACAAGCTTTTTTTTCCCCACGAGCTTTTTGGATCTCCCGTATACTGTCTTCTTTTAACCAGGCTGCGTCCAGTTTGCTCATTCTGTAAGGCTTAGCCCAGTCCCACCAGCTCAGTGAAGATTCCCCCAACTGTTTGGGGCCTCACTGCTGTCTGCTTCCCCCAATTCCTGTAGCACTTCATTTTGTACTACCTAATTTAGCAGTAATTATATGTTGTTCTGTTATTTAATTACTTCATTTGGGTAAGTCTAGTCCCCTAGTTCTCTCCCTCGGGGCAGAGATGGTATTTTCTCCTTCTCGTCCCTCATAGGGCTTGACAAACTGTCAGCACCGAGAAGATGCTCAGACAATGCCTGTTGATTGATGGAACACTTTACGTGGAGAATGATTTAAACCAAGCACATCAGACCCAATTACAAGATTTATTGATTCAGTCCACGTAACAACATTCATTGACAGCCTACCATGTTTGAAGCTAATTGAAAAGTTTTTAAGCAGACAGTAGGGTGCCTGTCCCCAAGTGTAAAATGTCGTTATGACGTCTCTTGTCCCAAGAAGCCTGAGAATACCAATGGTGCACAAGGGGCAGATGGTGAGGGCAGCTGGAGTTGTCCATGGTTCACCAGGTCACCCCTTCAGTGCTGCCCAGAGAACACCAGCAGGGAGGTACCTTTGTGCCCCTGACCTTCCGCTTGTCCGGCAAACTGTCTTAACTTACAGAGGGAGCCTGTCACCTATATGCCTAGTGAATCACTGCCTGTTGATGTCTTTGTATGTATATTGACCACAGTGACTGTTCTAGACATTTCTTAGTGCCTTCTTTTTGGTAGACACTCTTAATTTGTGTTAATTATATGAGAGCCTCTGCCATGCTGGAGAGTACCCCGAATACAAGACACTTCTAAAGATGGGTATAGTCCCTACCTTTGCAGAGGAAATAGTCTACTGGGGCAAACTAGGTGGGCAGGCAACTAAAATAAGAATAGTGTCATGGGAATGTGTTGCAGCCATAACCAGATACCCCAGCGTCTTGTGGTTTCAAGAAATGATTTCATTGTCCCACACTGTTCTGTACATCAGCTGAGACAATGGAGGACTGCAACATCAAGTTGCAGTCAGATGGAAACTGGGGCTGAAGCTCTCTGAAGGTTCCACAGGAGCCCTGAGCGTCTACACAGGAGGGAAGACCCAGGCTATGAATACTGTTCTGTGCAGCTCTTTGGAAACAGCCAGCGCCGTGGTAGGGAACATACCTGGGGTAATGGGAACAACTGGAAGAAGCCCACAATGAAGGCTCAGAAGTCAAGAAGGCTTTCTAGAAGCAGAGACCTCTAAACTAGCAGGTAAAAAGCCAGAAGGGAAAGCACAATCCTGGCAGAGGAAGCAGCTGGTGGCAAGGCCAGGGATGCTGAAGAGCACAGCATGAGAGCAGTGTGGCTGCACCTGGCTAGGGCAGGGGGGGGGAGGGGTGAGGGGCTGTTCAGTTGCAATTGCCCCTGAGGCTGCCGAGGTCTGTGGGGCCAGGTCAGAAACCCTTGTAAGGCACTAAGGGTTCTTAAGGTGTCTGGACTCATCCTGAGGTCACTGAGACACCCAGGGGAGGGATTTCAGCAGGAGAATGGAAGGACTAGGCCAGAAACTGAACCAAACACCAAATTCCCCACTCAGGGATCCTATGTAGGATTTCTGAAGCTGCTGATCTTTACAGGAGCAAATAGCCTCCTCTTTCTTCCTTGGAGCACCTGCTAGGTTTGAACCTTTAACCTTGCAGTTAGCAATCAATCTATCACTTACCAGTCAGCCACCGACTAGAGCGCTCTAAAAAGGCCATCGCTGGCTGCCGTGGGCTGGAGGGATGAATTGAATTGAGGGCACAGCAGGTGTCAATCCCACCTTTTCATTTGTCCCTCCTAGGCCAGTGACCCCACCTTTGTGACCAGAGAAGGCTGCAATATCACCTCAGTGCTGATGGCAGTTCTTTTTGTTTTTTCTTAGTGGCAATTTTTTTTTAATGATAAAAGAATGCAAATCCCTTTATGCAACTTCCTTTAAATATTATCTTTAAAAGGACATATGGTAAAATGGCTCCAACCCAGTTAGGTCTGGGCCAGGGTGGGGAGGATGCTCAGATGGTTAAACAATTGAAGCCTAAGTGTAAAGTGGGTTAAGGAAGAACCCACAGGCAGGAAGCACACAGCATACCAGGCTCAATGGGTCTGACCTCTCAGTAAAGTAATGGTTGGTTAAAAGAGAATTCCTACCCTGCTCAAAAGTCAAATAGCACAAAAGGCTTGTCACAAAAAGCCCCAGCACACCACTCCACAGGCAGCTCCCCACCCTCTAGTCCTCCTCCCCAGAGGCAGTAGTTTTCAACTCTGAAATTTCAAGAGACAGCACAAAAGCGCCTGGATTCTGGAGTTGGATTGCCTGGAATCCAACTCAACTCTCCCACGTACCAGTTGGGTGACCTTGGCCAAGTTAATTATAGTAGCTTGGTACTTGAGTTTCTTCATCTGCAAGATGGGAGGGATATTTGTCCCCGGCTCATGAGCTAGCACATGTACATTGCCTGGCATGTGGTCAGTGTGATAACGATGAAGAAGAACTGGGGAGAACATTTGCAAGTGTACTTGGAAGTTAGTTGGGCACCAAACAAATTAGTGTGTGGCATGCTTTTGATTGGGAGGGAATGACAGGAACACAGACTCAGTTGGAGAGATCTGTCTCTGTACTAAGGCCAAACTCTGTTTGCGCTCCGTCCCACTCCTTTCCTATCTCTTCTAGCATCATGTCTCTCGAATTATCCTGACCCTCAAGGCAAAGCTGACATTGCTCAACTAGCTTTTCTTTATTATTATTACTGAAATAAATGTGGGACTTTTCTATCTTGGGGCGAAAGTCCTCTATTTGATCCTCCTGCCCTTTTCAGCAAACATTCTGTTTTTCTTCTGCTCCTGCCAGATTTCTTAATTAACACACATGCCGTCTCCCATTTCTCACAACTCCCTCGCGTTTCAGCTCGGTCTCCCAGCGTCTCTGCCTCTTCTGCTGACACAGTTGTCAGGAGGGTCACCAAAGACCGCCTCATTAACCACCAACGAGCCTTTGTGCAAGCAGTCTCCTTGACCCAGAGCACTGGACTCGGCTGACCATCCAGTTCTTGGGTCCCGCATCCAAAACTGCCTCCTCGCCCCACTTCCTTCTTCCTGTCCATCACATCCTTTCCTTGGGTCATCCAGGGGAGAAACTTGGAGCCCAGGATTGACTCACCTCCTATTCCTGCCCTCCTGTATTAGTTTTGACTCTTCCGGAACTCCAGATGGGAATTGCAATGCAGGCATTTTTCTTTTAAAAGTTTTATGAGGATTTGAAGGAGTAGAGGGCCCAAGTGCAGAGTGTAGCTGGAACCCAGAAGAGACTGGAATCAGAGTTCAGCACTGAGAAACTGAGTCCTTTCTCTCTGGATTTCTTATGATCTGCACTGTGATGGTTAGAGTTTATGTCAACTAGACATACCTGGGTGAAGATAGGGATGGAGCCCAACCTATCAATCAGGTCACAGCCTGATGACACCTCATGGAGGTGTGACCGTAAGGGAGAACCCCTGAGCAGAGTAGAGCTCTCCCTTGCTCCTACACCTTCTACTGGATCTAGCTTCTGCGTCTGGTGTGTCAATCTCCTGTGGGATACCCTGCTGAGCCCAGGAGCCACCTCTGGACCCATTTGGCTGACCTCGGATTCATGTACCTCTGCACCCACCAGCCCATGGCACTCCTGCTTTGTCATCCTGCCTCCTGTTCAGCAGCTTCCACAGCTACACAAGTCAGGAGAAGCCTCGAGCTAACATCCTTCCAGGTTACATCCGACCTACAGTCTTGAACTAGACTGGACTTAACCTACGTACTTCTACCACTGTGTAAGCCAGTTCTGGATATAAATCTCTTTCTATAGACACACACATACAGACGTCACTAGGTTTGCTTCTCTAGAGACCTAATGTAACACATGTACAGACACCCCAAAGGTGTCAGACACTCCCACATCCAGCTAGTCACCAGGTCCTGTTCCATCTCCATCTCTTGCGTCAGGCCTATGAATCTGTCTCCTCTCAGGCCTGTGAATCTGTCTCCTCTCATGTACCCCGTAGTACTGCGTCTCCTTGTTTGTTTGCCTCCTGAAAAATTCTGTTTCTGAACCCTCGGAGGAGCATTGGCCATATTTGGTTCTCTGCCCCTTGCTCTCGGCAGGCATTTCCTGCTGTGGCGTTGGCTCCCACCTCCGATCTAGTGCTTAACAGTCTGTGTTCCAGAGTCCTGATGACCTCGCTTGAACCCTCCACTGCCTTGCCGTTTGAACTTGGGAAAGTTACTTACATTTTTTTGAGCCCCAATTCCTCATTTGTGAAATGGGGATAATGTTGACGGCTAACGGGAGGGTCGATGTGAGGGTCACCGAGTTAAGGATACATGTCAAGTGTTCCGTTGGCACAGGCCTGGTGAGCAGAAAGGACTCACGCAGTAAATGACCGTGCCGCCAGAATGCTCCTTAGAAGCCAGGATGGCAGGACTCGTTCCCATGTACTTTGGACGTGTGTCAGGAAGGCTAGTTGTGGAGAAGTACCACGTGGTACTTGGCAACGTGGAAGGTCAGTGAAAGAGAAGACCCTCCGGGAGATGGGTTGGCGCAGGAGCTGTACAAGAAGCTCCCACCGCAGTGATGGGGAAGATGGTTCAGGGTTATGGTCGGTGGTCCCCGTGAGTCAGCACCAATGCAAAGGCACCCACCAGCAACACTCTTGCTTTGAGTTCCAGTCCTCCCTCACCTGCTAGACTTTTCTATGAGAAGCCCACCTGTGACTTCAGACCCACCATCAACATTCTCCAGATACTGCTGGAAGATACACCTTCCAGAGAGAAGAGGGTAGGGGACCTGGAAAATGAGGTCGGTACCCGACCTCAGCCAGGCCTCAGCAGAGAAGAGCCTGGGGGGCGGAGGACCCCGGGAAGCCTCTACACCAGGAGTTGGCTGACTCCTTTGAGATCCAGGAGGGCCGGGCAGAGTTCCAGGAAGCCTGCAAATAGAGAATGAATCCAGCCTGTAGCCTGCAAATAGAGAATGTGAATCCAGCCTGTAAAAAAGGCCCCAGGGGTGGTGAGAGGAGAGGTAGCAAGATCTGCAGCGCTTTGAGGAGGGTGTGGAAGGTGAGAGCAACACCTTCAGGGCGCTGAGCCTGGCTCTGGCAGGGGCCTCCCTCGGCGGCGTGCTGAGGAGCTGGCAGCCAGGAGCCATAGGCACTCCTGTTTTCAGCTGAGCTGTTGCAGGTCCCCTTGGCCGCCCTGGTGAACACTCCTCATTAAGCTCAGGGTGTGCAGCTCCCCTGCCACTCAGCTCTGCTCGCCCCGCCTCCTGCGCTGCTCCTCTGTGTCGTGACGCAGCAGTCCTATGGACAGGATTCTGGTGGGGGGCTGCACCCTAGTCACCCAGGAAGAACTAGGGACAATGAGCCGGGAGGGTGGCCTGACAGCTGTCTGCCCCAGCCCTGTTCCACTTCTGCTATTGCTATCTGTGTGGCCTGCCCCTAGGCAAGTTGTTTCATATCTCATCTATGTGGGGTAGTGGGTTGAGCTGCTAGACACAAAGTCAGCGGTTTGAACTCACCAGCAGGAGAAAGATGAGGGTTTCTGGTCCTGTGAAGATTGATAGTCTCAAAAACCCACAGGGGATGAGGGAGGGGGGTGAATACAATGTTCTGAAATTGATTGTGGCAATGATTGTACAATTCTTGACATGATTGAACGATTGAATTGTATGATGTGAATTATGTGCCAATAAAACTGAGGAAGAAGGAAAAAAAAACAAAACAGGGCAGTTCTATTCTGTCCGTAGAGTCATTATGAGTCAGAATTAACTAGATTGATGGCAGTGATTTTGGTTCTAGTTTATACCACATGGATAATAAAGGCCATTGAATGAGTGCGGTTTAAGGGGCCCTGGTGGCGCTATTGGTAAGCATTGGACTGCTAACTGCAAGGTTGGTGGTTCAAGTCCACCCTCTGCTTAGAAGAAAGATAAGGTGATCCACTCCCCTAAAGAGCCACAGCCTCAGAAACCCTACAGAGTCACCATGAGTCAGAATCAACTCGATGGCAGTGGGTTGGGTTTGGGGTTTTGAGGGGTTTATCTTACTGTGAGTTTTACTAAGATAATGCAGGTAACGTCCTTAGCATAACCTCTTGTACCTCCTGGAGCTTAGGCTCTACCTTGCAAGGACAGTCACTCCATCCCCACACATCTGCTGACTGTTGTCATTACTCTTATCTGTTGATGTCATCTGTATGTGCCTCTCTCTGTCGCTTGCTCAACTCTGAGCTCCGTGAAGTTAGTGATGGAAATCATATGGGTACTGAGATAGTTTAAGTTTATTGTGCCAACCTGGCTGATAAACACATGTGGGGTTAATTGAAGGGTGGAGCTATGGCTCAGTAAGCCTCACCTTTTGAGTTCTCGGGTCTCTTGCTTTGTGATGGTCGGACCAGGGTGCAGCTGCCTTAGCCAGTTCCCTGCTTCAGCTGGCAAGGCTCGCTTCCTGTGAGACATCCCTGAGGAGAAGCCACATGGACCTACCCTGATGCAGCCCTGGGTGCTGGAGCAGCTTTGCGGAGATCCCTGCCAGTGCTGAGATGCTTACACATTCACTGATTCGGCTTTCTTCCTGCAGTCAGCGTCATAATGTGTGCTTTGTGAGATGGAGGAGGACTTTGTGGATTGGTGTCAGACATATAGGCTAATGTTGGACTTGTGGCCTTGGGCAGCACTGGGTTGGGATGTTTT